TTCAAAGAGCTGCTGTAAAAAGGGAAGGTAACGTTTATGTACCTGAGATAGGACAAACATTGTACAATGACCCATATGTAGAATAGAATGGAATGGAATGGAATGGAATGGAATGGAATGGAATGGAATAGAATAGAATAGAATAGAATAGAATAGAATAGAATAGAATAGAAATAGAATTCTTTATTGGCCAAGTGTGACTGGACACACAAGGAATTTGTCTTTGGTGCATACGCTCTCAGTGTACATAAAAGAAAAGATACGTTCGTCAAGAATCATAAGGTACAACACTTAATGATAGTCATAGGGTACAAATAAGCAATCAGGAAACAATATCAATATATATCGTAAGGATACAAGCAACAAAATTACAGTCACACAGTCATAAGTGGAAGGAGATGGGTGGTGGGAATGATGAGAAGATTAATATATAGTAGTGCAGACATTAAATAGTTTGACAGTGTTGGGAATTAGTTGTTTAGCAGAGTGATGGCATTCGGGGAAAAACTGTCCTTGTGTCTAGTTGTTCTGGTGTGCGGTGCTCTATAGTGTCGTTTTGAGGGTAGGAGTTGAAACAGTTTATGTCCAGGATGCGAGGGGTCTGTAAATATTTTCACAGCCCTCTTTTTGACTCGTGCAGGATACAGGTCCTCAGTGGAAGGCAGGTTGGTAGCCATTGTTTTTTCTGCCGTTCTAATTATCCTCTGAAGTCTGTCTGTGTCTCTCTTGTTGGGTTGCAGAGCCAAACCAGACAGTTATAGCGGTGCAGATGACAGACTCAATAATGTACCTGCATTAGATCATAACCTGTTAAGTTTATCCAGGTTAGACAGGCAGGGTTATGAAATACTGTTTGCAAGGAGGACAGTAGTCCCATCAGGAAAGGTGGAAGGATACGTGCGCGAGGGGTTAAGAAGGATGGCCTGTATGTTCTAGGAAGGCAGGAGAATAGTTGGTGCATGTGCACTTATGAATGCTCCTGCACATGACACTTGTGTACATTTGTTGTGTAGGGGAGTGGAGCATGTGAGTTTCAGAGGGCCGCAGAAGATGCCAGACCTAGTTTGGTGGCATAAGCCACAGCAAAAGCAAAAGCAGTGCAAGATGTATATGGAGTGCGCTGTTTGTAAGGAGAAAAAAATACAGAACATATCCTGTGAGTAAGAAAAACCCAAGGCAAACAAACAGAGGTATATTGTACCTAGGAGACCTGAAGGCAGGGGTGAAATGCTCCCTGTTTGGACCGGATCACCCGATCCGGTAGCGATGGCGGGTGGTGGTTCAGAGAACCGGTAGCAAAAATCCCTGTACTTCCCCCCCACCCCATGTCCAGTTGAGCCACGCGATCATCAGAGGCTGTTTTTTTTTTACTTTTAAAAGCATTTTTTCTACAACCTCTTCGGCCAAAAAAATGCTTTTAAAAGTAAAAAAAAAAAGCCTCTGATGATCATGCGGCTCAGCTGGGATCGTCAGAGGCTTTTCAAAGCATTTTTTTCCTGCAACCCCTTCGGCCGAAGAAGTTGTTGGGAAAAAAAAATGCCTTTAAAAGCCTCTGGCGATCCCAGCTGACTTGCCTGATCGTCAGAGGCTTCTAAAAGCATTTTTTTCCTGCAACCTCTTAAGGTTGTAGAAAAAATGCTTTTAAAAGTTAAAAAAAAAAAAAAAAGTTGGCCACGCCCACCCAGTCACATTACCCACCCACCCCACCAAGCCACGCCCACAGAACCGGTAGTAATAAATTTTAGATTTCACCCCTGCCTGAAGGGTATAATAAAGGTTTACTTCCTGAGAGGTTCAAAGCTGGTAGGGTTAGAGTAGGTGGTATTGATAATGAACCTCGTAGGTACCAAGAGATATGGCCATGGTCATTGCCTAAGGAACAACGAGATAAATGGGGGAAGCCGGAGTTACAAGAAAATGGCAGGCAGGTAGATAAACCAAAAAGAGGAAACTGAGCTAGTGGAAAGAGAAAGTAAAGAGATGGTAAACAGGATGTAATGGAGAGTAATGAGTCAGAGTGTACAGAACCAGTAGATAATGACTGTCACGCTGTAAACACTCTGACAAAACATGTTTTTTTTTTTTTCCTAGAGCAAAAGGCTCAGAAATTCATGGTACCGTATTGCAGATAACATATATTCACTAATCTTTCCATTAAAAAAAACAAAAAACAAAAACTACATCACAAAGCATGCAGAGGTACCTTGACATCTCCTTGGCGGTTTATTTGTTTGTTTAAAAAAATATATATTCTTGTCTTTTAATTCATGGAAAGATTTAGTACTTGGGAAATGGACGCTTTCTGTTGTGGCCCGCCAGCGGCCTGCGCAGATTGTTGCTGATCCTGACGATGAGGAGGCTGGTGTGGTGCTGCGCCAGCAGCCTGTGCAGCCGGCACTCGAGTCGGACAGCGAGGAGGCTGAAGAAGATGTGGTGCCAGAGGCGGGGATTCAACCAGGGCCTTCAGAACCTCCAGAGGCTCCTTTAAGTGAAGAGGATGAAGAGGAGGAGCCTCTTCTCAATGCACAGGCACGCAGAGCTGCCAAAAGGCAGGAGTGGTTACTCAGGAGGAGACCTCCTCGAGAGTAGGGCTCGGGGCTAATTGGCCACTCCCTTAGCCTATTTAAGTTTGCACACAGCTTGTAAAAAGCTGCAGGAAACGACGTGTGTTCGTCCGTTCGTTCGCTGATCATTGAGTTTGAATTTTCTCTGCAAACCTGGCTTCTGGGCTTTCTGCCAACTCTAGTAAGACTCTATCTTATCTGTGGAATTTCTGGCAGGTTGTTAAGAACATTTTATTAACAGCCTGCATTTGCAAACAAACCTGTGTTTTGAAGTAATCTGAGTTTTGTTCGGATTTGTGTCTGCTACATTCTTTGGGATCCGTAGCTGGGGCAGAACACTTTCTCTCATTTAATGACAAGGAGAAAACCACCTACTGCCACCTGTAAACTGCAGGAAGTCACCTAAGCGAGACTACGGATTTGTTGGAAGTAAAATCCGGGCCGGTTCCAAGCCGGGGGAAAGATGCAGGAGAAATAAGTTTGGTGGCAAGCTGCAGGAAAGGAGGTCTCCAATTATTTAGGAATCAGAAGCGAAGTGACTCAGCATCGGTTCTGGGACAGCCGACAGCCTGGCATGGGGAGTAGAGTGATTTATATACCCTTTTGGACCTTTGAGATTGAGATGCCCGGTGGGGTTATTTGATTAGATTAATAATGCACCTTTCTGTATTCTAATTGTCCCTATCTGATTTCCTGGGTAGTGGTCAGTGTCAAAGGTAGCCTTGGGTAAATTCTGTGTGGTTTTGTGTTTTCTCAATTAATCCTGACCAATTCAGCCTGTCTCAGTCTTCTAACCGGGGTTACTTGAGGCCAGGGGTGAGTTCTACTTACCTTTACTACCAGTTTGCAACAGGAGCATGCGCGAGCGAAGGGAGCACACTTCTGTGCATGCAAAGAAGCTTCTGTGCATGCGCAGATCAGTGGTAGGTTTCAAAATTTTTTACTACGGGGTTCTGTGGGTGTGGCTCGGTGGGCATGGCATGGCTCGGTGGGTGTGGCAGGGGAAGGATACTGTAAAATCTCCATTCCCACCCCACTCCAGGGGAAGGATACTGCAAAATCCCCATTTCCTCCTGATCAGCTGGGACTCGGGAGGCAGAGAATAGATGGGGGCGGGGCCAGTCAGAATTTTTACTACTGGTTCTCTGAACTACTCAAAATTTCCGCTACCGGTTCTCCAGAACTAGTCAGAACCTGCTGAAACCCCACCAAATGTGACATCAGGGCAGGTGGGTGGAGCCTCTTGCCATTTTCAGTACCGGTTCTCAAGAACTAGACAGAACCGGGAGCAACCTACCACTGCTTGAGGCCATTATGGCTGGGGGGGGGGGGGGCAGGGATTGCTTTAGGTTCTGTGGATGGTTTTTCTTTGCCTTCTCTGGGGGCATGGAAATAAAGTGGGGAGGTCTTATGGTTCTTCCCACAGATGAGGTCTTCAGAGGCTTGATATTTATGTGTTGGGGAAATAGCAGGTTTTCTTTATTTTTCAATCCAGACAAAAATTACTTTTTTTTTTTTTTTTTTACAAAACAGTGAAATTATGTTAATTAGAATATGGAGTTGGGAATATATAAAGTCATCATTATTTTATTATTTATGTTTTATTTTTGTTAGATTTGTATGTTATCTTTCTTCCAGGAACTCAGGTGGGATGAAGAAAACAGGGCATAATGGAGTGGGCATTTAATTCCCATAATGGGTTTTTTATATTTCTCAACATACTCAACCAGACCTCTGTTATTCTATCAGTTACGATTTATAATGACTGTTTCCTAATATGATTTGATTGCTTATTTGTACTCTACAACTATCATTAAGTGTTGTACCTTATGATTCTTGACAAACGTATCTACAATACACTGAGAGTGTATGCACCAAGACAAATTTCTTGTGTGTCCAATCACCTTTGGCCAATAAAGAATTCTATTCTATTCTGTTCTGTTCTGTTCTGTTCTATTCTATGACTATCATTAAGTGTTGTACCTTATGATTCTTGACGAACATATCTTGTCTTTTTATGTACACTGAGAGCGTATGCACCAAGACAAATTCCTTGTGTGTCCAATCACACTTGGCCAATAAAGAATTCTGTTCTGTTCTTCCTGTTCTGTTCTGTTCTATTCTATTTTCTATTCTATTCTATTCTATTCTATTCTATTCTATTCTATTCTATTCTATTCTATTGGGACAGATAAACAATTGCCATGTAACAGGAATAGAACTTGGGCCATCAACGAATCCCTAGCATTGATCATCATCATTTGATAAGGTTTTATATATATATATACTATCACTGATCTTCTTGCAATGTCACCCCAAAAGTATAAATTTCAGATAAGAAATAAATAGGGGTGGATAAATAGATTGTCTGCTTCTTAATACAATTCTGCACATTTTAATCAGATGTCATTGTGATCATACAGATGATTGCTTTACCTTCATAAACATGCTGAATCCTGTTTTCAGAAGATCGGTCAGCCCAGAAGACATGTGTTCAATATCAACAGGATCAGGTCGATCAGGATTGTAAATTTCTTCCACCACTTGCTTCATCAATGGTTTATAAGATGCCTTAAAAAAAAAAAAAAAACCCTATTCGTTAAAATTAAATGCATTACATTTTTCAAAGTGAACATGATAACTAATAAACATATGGAAGTGGTTTTTTTCCAGGAAATCGAAAGATAGTGCTTTGTTGGTATTTTTTCATAAAAGGATAGTGAGTCAGAGAGGTTGTGCTTTCAATCAATGTTTAAATTGTGCTTCTGATTTGAGGTGAACTAATTCATATTTGTTCTACTACTTGTATTGGGAAAAAATTAATCTCTAAGTGATAGTGATTTAAATGGGGTCTTCGGTAGAAAAAAAGAATAGAATAGAATAAATAGAATAGAATAGAATAGAATAGAATAGAATAGAATAGAATAGAAAAGAATAGAATTCTTTATTGGCCAAGTGTGATTGGATACACAAGGAATTTGTCTTGGTGCATACGCTCTCAGTGTACGTAAAAAGACAAGATACATTCATCAAGAATCATAAAGTACACACTTAGTGATAGTCATAGGGTACAAATAAGCAATCAGGAAACAATATCAATGTAAACCGTAAGGATACAAGCAACAAAATTATAGTCATAAGTGGAAGGAGATGGGTGGTGGGAACGATGAGAAGATTAATAGTAGTGCAGACTTAGTAAATAGTTTGACAGTGTTGAGGGAATTATGTATGGCATCAGTCTCAATGTTCAGTTCTACCAGGTGGCTCTGTAAAAAATGCAATTGCTCAGCTTCTCTGAAAATAAAATCAGTCTTTTCACCTTGAAATGAAACTTGAAGAGGGGAAAAAGTGCATAGAAAGGATATAGTCTGAAATGCTGCCTTTACTCAAAAGATCAGTCTGAAATAGCATTCATTCATTCTTTCAATCATTTCATTCCAGCCTTATGCAAGACTGGTGTTTAGTTGACCTCTTAATACCCAGAATGAGAATACATTACATCACTCTCCTACAGTATCAGGAGAGGGAATACCATCCATAATTCAGTTTTTTACTCAGATCCATTCATCATATACTCAGGTTTTAATAAATATAAACGACAGATTTCAGACTTTGCAATAACACGCAGTAAGAAGCAATCGCTTCAGGAGATGCCACTTGAAAGGGGTCTAGGACAACCAGCCACGGCCATCTCACCGCAGGACAAGTTACAGTAATATTGAAGAACTGAGGCATGAGTGCACATAAGGAAGGCACCAATGGAATCAGTGCTATATCAGTACAACGTCCAGGGTTGAAATCCATCCCTTCTTCTAAAAGGGAAGGTTGGAAACTGGACAAAAATAATTTAACATGGTTAGGTCCAACGGGTGCCTCTTGGGGAGGAAGCAAAAAGCCCCACCTCATTCAAAGCTAGAAGAATCACTCACTTTCTCTTGAAGACTGTTTACCTGAACATCCCAAATATTCCTTCCACAAAGGCACATTTAAATGTGGAAACATTATGCCGAGATAAACAGAACCACGTCTGGAGTATCTCTCGTAGGAAAGTGCCATTTAGTGGAGACAAAGGCTGAGAAAATCTGGCCTTTCGACCAGTTTGCTGACTTCCCACCTGTGCAATTCCTCCCTCAAGCATAAGGGATTGCCATGCACTAATTCTAAAGATATAATACAAGATGGCTGCTAGGTAAAATAAATTTCACTGGTCTTACAAAATGCTCTTCTTTCATGATATTCTGCAATTACGCTGCATTAATCCTGACTGAAGTTGGATGGCTTGAATTCTCCGAAAATCATTGTAGAAGGACTACATATTTGAATAGCACTCTGCCCATGCTTAAAATAAATATCTGTTGTCATACAAATGTACACATTATTAGAATGATGCAGGGTTAAACTGCGACATAATTAAAAGCTTTTAGTTAGTGGAAAAAAACCCCCTACCATATTCAATTTTATGGGTTTATGCAATTACTATACTGTAAATCTAAAGTATTAAACAACGAACAACAACCATTAAAGTCGGAAGCTTATAATTTACAAAAATTAGTGGCAGGCAATATTTCTTACTTTTGCTATTCCAAGAAAGCCCCTTTCTAGTTTTCTTAGAAAACTCATGCTGAATCAAGCTGTGGAAATTATAAACGGAAGTGCCACTTATCTTAGGGGGAGGGAAATGAAAAACAAATGAGAAACTAACCACTTAATCTGAACAACTTGAAAGAAAAAAAAATATATTTTCCAAAGCAATTACGGCCATCAACATTTATTTCCTCATCTAGCCTTTTGGATCATCGATGTCCTTTTTTTCTTCTACCCAAGCACAAAAGAAAATTAGATGCACTAAGCCAAAATGTCCTGATCACACATTTTTACACTCATTCGAGGAGATGCAACTCTTTACTGTACTGCTTGTTGTTGTGAATTCAATCAGAAACATATTTATGCAATATGAGGTATTTGAACAAGATACCAAAACAGCAAATGTATGGAATTAAGAAGAATAACTATTTTTTCTGAGGTAATGAAGAACAGTTTGGAAGACAGTCATATTTCACAAATGGAACATATTAACATATTAAATTTTGTATTTATGTGTTTTTATCTTGTGGCTGTTCACCACCCTGAGTCCTTCAGGAGTAGGGCGGTATATAAATCAAATAAACTAAATTAAACTAAACTAAACTAACAGTGATTTATCACTGAGGCTGCAACTGTTGGTTAACTATCCACTAAGAATGATCACCTTTTCATATACAGCTTGAGTATAAATTATACAAAGACTAATGTAAGCCTAAGAGCTGTGGTGGTGCAGTGGTTATTAGAATGCAGTATTGCAGGCTAACTCTGCCCATAGTCAGGAGTTCGATCGTGACAGGCTCAAGGTTGACTCAGCCTTCCATCCTTCCGAGGTTGATAAAATGAGGACCCAAATTGTTAGATGCAATATGCTGGCTCTGTAAACAGCTTAGAGAATGCTGTAAAGCACTATGAAGTGGTATGTACTGTGTTTTCCCGAAAATAAGACCCTGTCTTATATTTTTTTGAACCCTGAAATAAGCGCTTGGCCTTATTGCCAGGTGCTCAAAAGCCCGATTGGGCTTATTATTATGTCTTATTTTGGGGGAAACAGGGTAAGTCTAAGTGCTATTGCTATTACCTTTGGTCCAGCTTAATGCAATCTGAAACTTCTGTATCTGGAATTTGCTACCCTATCAAGGTGATGGCGTAAGAAGTTCTTCCTTTGTTGTAAGGCTGTGCAGTTACGGTTTTGTTCCTTTTTTCCTCTGGCTTTATGCTGAAATTAATTTCATTTTTCTCTCCTCTAACGGATGGGAGGGCATAGAGTGCAAACACAGTGACATCGGGGGAGGGATACACAAAGTGATATTCAGTACCAACGCTGCTGGCCTATGTTGTCCCAACAGGACTCCATTTTGCCCAGCACATTGATCAAAATCAGTATAAAACCACTTTAAAAGGTTGTCCCACAGCTTGGAGAAGAGTAACACAAACATGCTGATGATAACCAGGTCTATCTCCAGCAAAGACCAGGGAAGCAAATGATACCTTTATGCTCTGCTTAAATTCACTTAACGGGCTGGATGAGAGAAAATAAACTTAAGCCAAATCCCAAAAAGATGGGGTGATGTTGATAAACTGACTTGGGAATTTAGGTTTATCTTCCTTGGGTTGGGATTACAATTTATCTGAAAGATCAGATGCTCTCTGGCTGCTCTTGGATCTTCAGCCGTACCTATTTTTTTTAAAAAAATATTTATTTTGCTGTGACAAGGGGTGATTTTATACAGTTAGGCCTGTTCCTGAGGCAATCAGATCAGTTACATCTGGATTACATTCGGTCTTGACTGCTGCAATGCATTTTACCTGGCCTACATCAGTGGTGGCGAACCTTTTACTCACTGAGTGCCGAACAGGTGCGCGCTTTGCGCGCTATCCACGGCAACACACAGCTCCTCCCCCATGTATTGCACATGAAACCGCACCATCTGCGCATACATGTGGCTTTTACACGTGCTACGCGCGCCATCACACCATCTGCACATGTGCAGTTTTTGTGCGTGCAATCCACACACGCAAACACCATCTATGCATGCACGTGCTGCATGCAAGTACTCTCACGTGCATGCGCAAATGCACGCGCCTGCGCAGGAGAGCTCCGAAGACCAGCTGCGTCCCCTGAATTGCGTGCATGTGCACCGGAGGCCCGAACACCAGCTGTGGCGTGTGCGCATGCGGAGCTGCAGGTGAGTCGAGCGATAGCTAGCGTGGCCGGAAAGATGGCTCTGCGTGCCGCCTCGGGGACGCGTGCCATAGGTTCGCCATCACGGGCCTACGTAGAAATTTCAGTCCGTGCAGAATGCAGCGGGATCTTGGCTGCAAACTAGGGCAAGGAACAGATCTGCATTGGAGATGATTTAGGGCGTTGCTTTAAGAACCCTGAAAAGTTGAGGACCTGACTAGTCTGCTCCACAGCTCTCGTTATGAATTTATGACGTTAATAAGATCAGCAGGAGAGGTCCTTTGGAGCATGTCCCTACTGGGAGAGATCTGTCTTTTGGGCAGACAAGGGAGAGGCCTCCCCTCGGTTGCTCAAAAGGCTATGGAATGTACTCCCTCATAGGTGGGCTTCACAAGCTCAGTGGTTAGGACATTTGTAAAGACACGTCTCTTTTGACTGTCTTTTAATTGTTTCAATCTGCATTCGTTAATGCATATATAATTATAACTTTTTTAAAAAATAGATCTTTATTAATTATTTACAAATAAAAAAAACATATAATGTAAATTTTCAAACAGATATAAGTTATATATAGGTATACAACACCTATTCATCCATATTACAACAGCAGCGAGAATGGCACTTGCCCAGCATTGGAAAAATGTAAATACACCATCAGATCAACTTATAATAAATAAGAGATTGAATTGTGCCGAATTGGACAAATTAACATATATCCTAAGAGAGAAAAATGAATCCATATATTACAGTAATTGGGAACGCTGGTATATATGGCTAAAGAAGAGGACAAACATAGAATAAATAACATAGTATTAAATATATACTTGGTTATAATGAGATAGCGTTTGGTATCTAAAATAGTCAACGCTATTTGAACAAAAGGATTTACCGGGATGTAACTTTGAATAAGTATCTGGGGGTTCGATACGACCTCCGGTTAGTCCTTCTTTGTGGTTGTCTTTATAATTATAACTTTTAATACTCCATATATTTTTTTTTTTAATTTTAGATTTTGAAGTCGTAGCAAGTGTTCATCAGACCAGAAAGGCAAAGTATGAGAGGGAGAGACGGTGGGGGGGAAAGAGAGAGAGAGTTTCAGAAATTTATGGAAATGCTGCTTGGATGTCAAATATAAAGCTGCCATCATTCAAACGAATTGCTTCAGTTTTAGAAATTACTCTAAAAAAAAAAAACCCAAAACCCCATGATGGCACATGGAGGCAAGATGTATTCTAAAAACTCACTTATAGAGAGCAAGATGGATTTTATATCCAAACATCACACAATTGGTCACGTTCAGGAAAGTGTAGTTTTGGTTGCCTGCCAGGGTGAAAGAGATGAAAACGGATTAGAAAAACACATGTCAACTTGCCTGTTGGCTGTGGCTTCCCGGGATATGTACAGAATTAAACTGTTTCATGTGGGTCCGAGCTCGCGTAACATCCCTTAGGCTCTTAAAGATCTCATTCACTGCAGCCGTGGCTTTTTGAAATGTAACCTTGGTGGAAGACTCACAACCTGAAACAAGGGAAGATGAGTTAGCGGGGGAAATTGTTTAAGGCTGGCACGTTCCTACAACTTGAGGTTTTCTTTGTTCTCCTGCTGGGGTCTGGCAAACTTGCCAAATGCCGTAAAAAAAAAAAAAAAGCAATCAATTTGGACGCCACATTTGATATGTTACAGGAGAGGATAAAAACGACTCTCTTAACTTGGTCTAGAGTTTTTAAAGACTCACCAGTTTATGTTATTCAGCTACAAATAAAATAAAATAAATCGAAATCTAGTTATACGAGACATGATGAGTTTTTACACAAAAGGCATTTTGGTTTTCTTTATACTCCAGTTTATAAAACTGTCATACAAATATTCATAAGGTCTTTCTGTCTCATTTTTAGATCTGCCACTGATTTTTTTTTTTAAAAAAAAAACCTACCCAGATAGCTGAACATAAAGTTAAATATGTGTTGCTTACAGAGGTGGGGTTTCAGCAGGTTTTGACCAGTTCTGGAGAACCGGTAGCAGAAATTTTGAGTAGTTTTTTTTTTTAATTTGATTTATATGCCGCCCTTCTCCGGAGACTCAGGGCGGCTTACAATGCTATAGCCTTCATACTTTTGTATATTTTTATACAAAGTCAGCTTATTGCCCCCACAAACTGGGTCCTCATTTAACCTACCTTAGAAAGGATGGAAGGCTGAGTCAACCTTGAGCCTGGTAAGATTCGAACCTGCAGTTCAGAGAACCAGTAGTAAAAATTCTGACTGGCCCTGCCAGTCAGAATTTTCTGCCTCCCAAGTCCCAGCTGATCAGGAGGAAATGGGGATTTTGCAGTAACCTTCCCCTGCCACGCCCACCAAGCCATGCCACGCCCACCAAGCCACGCCCACAGAACCGGTAGTAAAAAATTTTGAAACCCACTACTGGTTGGTTAATGAATTTTCCCACAAAGTAAGAATGACCAAAGTATTTTGCTTTGAATAGGTGTATTAGACTAGAGCATATATTGCAATGAGAAGTGCAACTTATTTATTTATTTATTTATTATTTAAATTTCTATACCGCCCTTCTCCAGAATAGGACTCAGGGCGGTGAACAGCCAGAATAAAAAACAATACATACAAAATTTAAAAACAATTTAAAATAATTAAATATTATTGGCCGTAAATTAAAATAACCCAATTTAAAATCAATTTAAAATTAACTCAAGCCAGCCCCGCTAGTTGAAATAAATGGGTTTTCAGGGCCCGACGAAAAATCCGGAGGTCTGTTATTGTACGTATCTCCGGGGGGAGGTTGTTCCAGAGGGTGGGCGCCGCCACAGAGAAGGCTCTCCCCCTGGGGGTCGTCAGCCGACATTGTCTGGCGGACGGCACCCTGAGGAGGCCCACTCTGTGCGAGCGTACTGGCCGGTGGGAGGCTATTGGTGGCAGAAGGCGGTCTCGTAAGTAGACACACCAATTTGGTGAAAGGGGATCTGTGCAAAATCTCATGAGATTTACAAACGCTAAAAGCATGGCTTTCCCGTGCCAGAGCTTGGCTTCAATTCTTACTTGCCGATGTATTTACAGGTCTCTTTTTTAGGGCTTTAAAACCTGCCCCATTGAATTGCACTTAAGAAATAAGATAACTGATTAGTCATTGCTGGTAATTTTGCAAAGACACCAGGACGTATCTGAAGTAGCCTGCAACGTTATCTTTTTAAGAGCAAGGTTCAAAAAACATGAACCCTATTACGACTCCCCATGCCTTGAAACTGAATTTTCACAGAGCAGGAATGAAAGGTTTTGAGTTTCGAAAGAACATTAGAAAGGCCTTTTACTTGAAGCCGAAACAATTTTGAAAAGGTAACACAGATTCAAGGATTGTACTGGCTTTTGGTTATTCGGGTCTTCTCCCACGTAAAATTGGAAGTGTCTTGGCGACGTTTCGACGAAGTCTCATTCGTCATCTTCAGGCTGGTGTTCTCGGCTTCGTGCTTCCAGGAGCAATATATATGAAACTATGTGCTCAGGCTTGATAACTTGACACTTACAGACTGAAACTTAATGTAGAATGTGTAACTCAGTAGCATCAGAGTGTGTTAATATAATGCAACTGGCAGTTGGAACAGACTTCGTGTGCGCTGCGTTCTTTGGGGTCCATAGCTGGGGCAGAACATGAACTCAGAACCTTACGTCAGTCAGTGAATAAAGTGAGCCAATCAGTGTCCCCTCCAACTGGCCAAACATTGGCTGTTTTGTAAAATGAACCACAATTAAAACATGAGTTGTTATGCTAGGAAAGCTCCCTGGCTGCCTAGACACATTTTGAATGTTTTTTTTTTTCCCATCTAAATTTCCATGGAAAGCTGAGGTGGTAGCATGGCATTATAGTGATGGAACCTCATGGTTTTCCATACAGCATTTAGTGTGGCTGGAGATTTTATATGTAAGTCTCTGTTTTTCATAGGAAGTGGGGTGGAGAGAAGGAAGATTAGGAAAGAGGCTGAAGCAAAGTTTGGTGCATCCTGCTCATATCAGTAGGGAAGAGCCAGCTTTGTTGCAAGAAAGAGCCTTGGTAGTACAGGGGTTTAAGGCACCCTGTTATTAAGCTGGTTATTAAGACCAGCTGCCTGCAATTACTGCAGGGTTCGAATCTCGCCAAGGCTCAAGGTTGACTCAGCCTTCCATCCTTTCTAAGGTAGGTGAAATGAGGACCCAGTTTGTGGGGGCAATAAGCTGACTTTGTATAAATATACAAAAGGATGAAGGCTATTGCTGAGCACATTGTAAGCTGCCCTGAGTCTTCGGAGAAGGGCGGCATATAAATCAAATTAAAAAAATAATAATTATGGATTTGATTAGAAAAGTATCAAGATGGGTTCATTGATAATCTACAGACGGGGAGGTTGAACAACTAGCTTCGTGGGGCGACCGGAACAATCTGGAACAGAACACACTCAAAACCGTAGAAACGGTGGTAGACTTTAGGAGAAACCCTTCCATACTTCCACCTCTTACAATACTAGACAGCACAGTATCAACAGTAGAGACCTTCAAATTTCTAGGTTCTACCATATGCAAGATCTAAAATGGACAGCTAACATCAAGGAAGAGGCTCAGCGGCCTGAGATGGTCGGCCAGTTCCAGGCCATGATGCAGTCCCACTGGAAAGAGGCCCTCCGGTTTTGCCACCAGTGACGCTTCCTTCCAGCCTTCACCCAAAGCCCCTCACCAGGAGGCTGAAACAGACCCCAAGTCGGAATTTCTGCCCCCCTCCGACCCACACAAAAAGACCCCAAAGGGGGAGACTCTCTGCAGCAACACAAACGTTCATTGCATGTATCCAGCCCAGAGGCCGTAGTTTGAGGACCCTTGATTTAGTGCAATATAGAAAATGCAAATAATTTTTCTGCGGACCCACCAAAATTTTCTCACGGACCACCAGTGGTCCACCGACCACCAGTTGGTGACTGCTGCTCTAGTCCACCATTCCCACTTTCAATTCAGAAACAGAGTACAGAGTGCAGATCTTGCCAACCACTAAGAAAATGGGGGTCTGGATGGGGAGAAACAGGCTTCGACTCAACCCTTCCAAGACCGAGTGGCTGTGGCTGCCGGCGTCCCGGTATAGCCAGCTGACGCCCATTGCTGGTTATTGGGGGCGAATCATTGGCCCCCACGGAAGGGGCCCGCAACTTGGGCGTCCTCCTGGACGCAGGGCTGTCCTTAGAAGGGCATATGACGGCCGTGGCCAGGGGGGCTTTTTATCAGGTTCGCCTGATACGCCAGTTGCGCCCCTTTCTGGATCGGGACTCCCTACGCACAGTCACTCAAGCACTCGTCACTTCTCGTCTGGACTATTGTAACGCTCTCTACATGGGGCTCCCCTTGGGGTACACCCGGAGGCTCCAACTGGTGCAGAATGCAGCCGCGTGGGGGATTATGGGAGCGACTGGGCGCTCCCATGTGACTCCTCTCCTGCGCGAGTTGCATTGGCTTCTGGTGGACTTCCGGGTGCGCTTCAAGGTGTTGGTGATCACCTTTAAAGCGCTCCATGGCTTAGGGCCAGAGTACTTACGGGACCGCCTTCTGCCACCAATAGCCTCCCACCGGCCAGTTCGCTCCCACAGAGAGGGCCTCCTCAGGGTCCCGTTGGCTAGACAATGCCGGCTGGCGACCCCCAGGAGGAGAGCCTTCTCTGTGGTGGCACCTACCCTTTGGAACAATCTACCCCCAGAGATACGAGTGATCTCCGACCTCCGGACCTTTCGTCGGGCCCTAAAAACTCATCTCTTTCAGTTAGCCGGTCTCTCTTGATTTTATGGTTGGTTTTAAATTTTGATATGGATTTTAAATTGATACTTTTAAACTATGGGCCAAATTTAATTATTTTAAATCTATTTTTAATCGTACTTATGTATAAATGTTTTTATTTTGGCTGTTCACCGCCCTGAGTCCGAAAGGAGAAGGGCGGTATAGAAATTCGAATAATAAATAAATAAATAAATAAATAAATAAATAAATAAATAAATAAATAAATAAATAAATAAATAAATAAAATCCAACACAGTACAGATAATTAAAGTGTATTCACCGGTATGTTTTTAAAAAGGGCCAGTAACCAGTGGTTGGGCTGCCATTTTGTTGAGTATCATCACTTCTCCTGTCGCCATACCAACCACCCAAGTATTTATATAGCAACTGCAGGATGAGGAGGAGGAAGTGTTAAAATAGCGCCGCGTGGGGATAAATTTCTGCCATTAGTTCTAACTCATGACATTTTTTAAACTAAGAAGACTAAAATGTTCAGACTGCCCAGGACCTTGGCAATCTACTGAATCATTTATCAGGACAAAAACAAAACTGCTTCCATTCAGCAACAGGAACAGCAGGAGGCGGCTTCGGCTAGTTTGAACGAGCCTTGGAAAACAAAGTCAGAACATTTCTGGTCTCTTCGTAACAATGCTATATAAGTGTTTATTTGAACTTTTATAGATGCCATAACTCTCTCCTGTTATTTTTTTTTACTTTGGAGAG